GGCTGTGACTGTGTAAAGATGGGTGTGATAGTTTGGGTCGCTGCACCTCAACCTGTACCCCTCAGGTGACATCAAGGACCGAGGGTCCTTCCAGCTCTCTGCTCTGCCATCCTGAGGATTCACCCTGAGGTGAGGACTGGAAAGATCCTCGGTCCTTGATGTCATCTCCTGGGCACTGAATGAACCAGCACTGGGCTCCTCCCACCTCTGGACTTCTGTAAAACATAAATGCTCTTTGTTCCAAGCCTTGTGAAGTTGAGTCAACTGTGATTTGCAAGCCCAAAGCCTAACTAGTAAATACATCTACTTAGCACAAAGACTTGCTCAGCACCATGAATGCACAAGAGAGCTGAAAGTCAGGTGTTAAGAAGCTTACACCTTTTGCGGGGTCAGAAGGCACGTGCCTAGGAATTAAACAGCAGTTCAAGGCAAGAAGACGGGCAGGTCTGGATGGACCAAGAAGCATTACTTATCAGCCGTCATGAACAAGGAGGTTGTAGTTGGCACATGCCAACCACCTGTTACAAGAGTGCTCAGTGACATAGAAAGCTTTCCTCCCGGGACTGGGGTGACCCGGTGCAGCCACCTCAGCAGCCTGTCAGCTAAGCAGGAAATAACTAGCGTAAAATCTTTCCAAAGCAGAGATGAAAGGGACGCTCCTACCTCGTCATAGCTCTCTGCAGCCTCGACCTCCCAGGCTCCAGCAATCCTCCCACCTCAGCCTCCTAAGTAGCAGGGACTATAGGCACACACCACCATGCCCGGCTAAGAGACCCTCCTACCTCAGATGCAGTGAAATCACAGACCCTGGCTCTCGTTGAAACCTGCACCATCGTTAATACCCCTGTGCAGCACAGTTGCTAAGCAACCAGGGGTGAGGAGGAACTTGGGAAAGCCGACCAGTTTGTGAGTGCCTGGAGTGAAACGGCCTCTTCATCCTCAGCCGACTTGAGTGAGAACTGGCTCTGCGTTGAGCACTGTGCTGGGAACAGAGGGTGCAAAGACGTTTCCCACACAGCTCCTGAGCTGCAAGCTGCTCAGAGGTTGGTGGTAAGTGTCAGCCACCCACACAAGCCCCGGTGGGAGGAACAGCATCCTCTAGAACCCTGCAGAGAGGGCAGCCGCACGTCCTGCTGGCAGAACAGGAAGTGCTTCCCCTCTGGGCTGCACGTGTGCCAGGCACCGGGCCTGACCCTTTATAGAATTTATCTCATTTGGCCGGGCGTGGTGATTACACCTGTAATCCCAGCACTTTGGGAGGCCAAGGTGGGTAGATCACTTGAGGTCAGGAGTTCAAGACCAGCCTGGCCAACATGGTGAAACTGAGTCTCTACTAAAAGTACAAAACATCAGCTGAGCATGGTGGTGGGCGCCTGTAGTCCCAGCTACTCAGGAGGCAGAGGCAAGAGAATCACTTGAACCCGGGAGGCAGAGCTTGCAGTGAACCCAGATCGTTCCATTGCACTCCAGCCCTGGCAACAGAGCAAGATTCTGTCTCAAAATAAAAAAAAAAAAAAAAAAAAAGGAAATCATCTATTTTAATGACCACAGCAGCTCTGAGAGGTGGACGTGCTCACCCTTGTTTTGTGGACAAGGAAACCAAGAAGCAGAGAGCCCTAGCGACTTGCTGAGGGTCACACAGCAAATCTAACTGGGATTCCAGCCCAGGCCTCCTCCATGTGAAGACCCCCCCTGAGGTTCCCCTCCTTAGAAAGCTGGGAGGATTTCAAGTGGGAGTTTGCTAGGCAGAGGGAGAGGCAAGATAAAGCAGCCCGGTGAAGGGTGAGCTCATATCACAAAGACCCGGAGCCATGATCTGGGAGCATCTGTTCTCACTTGGAGTGACAGAGTAAGGATTCCTTTGCACCTCTGTCCCCAGCAGGGGCTCACCTGCAGACATTTGTTACTGGATGGAAAAAACCCACAAGGACTGGAAAACAAGTCAGTTTCACCTAGTAGGGTTGAACATGCAGACCACACATGCCAGGAGTCCCTTTTAGTATCATCCCTAGAGAAATTCTCCCCATGTACATCCAGAGACCTGTGCAAGAATGTTCCACAGCAGCATCCTGTACCCAAAACCAGAAACCACACACAGACCTCGTGCAACAGCGTGGATAAATAAACTATGTATTCAATGCTGGCGTACTCCCCAGCAGTGACAATGGAAAGAAATATGACCATGTGCATTAGCACGGGTGGACCTCAGGAACATGACGTTGAGCGAAAAAGCAAGCCACAGAAGATGCATGGCGTAAAACTGTCTGTAAACACTTCAAAAACAGGCCGGGCACAGTGGCTCACGCCTATAATCTCAGCACTTTGGGAGGCCCAGGTGGGAGGATTGCTTGAGGCCAGAAGTTTGAGACCAGCCTGGAAAACACAGCGAGACCCCATCTCTACAAAAAATAACAACAAATTAGCCGGGCATGGTGGCACACACCTGTAGTCCCAGCTGCTTGGGAGGCAGGAGGATCTCTTGGGCCTAGGAGGTGGAGGCTGCAATTAACTATGATCGCACCACTGCATTCCAGCCTGGGAAACAGTGAGACCCTGTCTCTAAAAAATTAAAAAGAAAAAAAAAATATGTAAAACAAGGCTGAGTGAGATGGTTCATGCCTGAAATCCCAGTACTTTGGAAGGCCGAGATGGAGACTGGGAGTTTGAGGCCAGGAGTTTGAGGCCAGCCTGGGTGATATAGCAAGACCTCATCTCTACAAAAAAATAAAAACTTAGCTGGGCGTGGGGTTGCGTGCTTGTAGTTAGTCCCAGCTACCCAGAAGGCTGAGACGGAAGGATTGCTTAAGACCCGGAGGTCGAGGCTGCAGAGAGCTATCGCCATACCACTGCACTCCAGGCTGGGAGACAGAGCGAAACCCTGTCTCAAAAATCATTTTTTTTTGGTAAACATACAAAACGAAACCCTACTGTTAAGGATATACGGCAAAACTATACCAAGAAACAAGGGACTGATGAACATCAGAATGGTGGCTTCCCCTGGGGAGGGGCAGCCAGGCAGATGTGAACTTGGAAGGGCCCCCGGGGACATTGGTGATACAAGGAATTATTGTTACGATTCAACTGGGGACACGAGTGTCCATGTCATTGTTCTCTGTCTCACGGATACACATTATGTATACATATTTACATGTATGAAATATTTCATGGAAAATAAATCTATGGAGAGTGCAGCCAGCCTCAAAAGAAAAAAAAAATGTCTCAGACACAATTCGAAATGTATTTTACCTTCCAGCACTTCTCTCTAACTCAGCCTGACTCAGCCTCATCACCGGGATGAACGCGGCGGCTCTGTCAAGCTCTGGGCAGTTTCTTTGAAGGCAGTTTTCTCAGAAATGCTCCCGGAGGCCCCGAGGCTCTGAACTTTAACAGCCTTGCAGGTCGGATGGCCCGTCCCTACCTAAGTCTTAGCCAGAGCTTGTCGCATCCCGCAGCTCCGACCCAACCCAACCTTCGGCAGGGTTTGACTTCCAGTGTGAGACAGGTCCTAGGCCACATGAGTCTCTCTGCAAACGGCTGAAAAGCAAGTGCCAGGCCCCCAGGCCAGGCTCCACAGGAAGGGCTGTGTCACTCACCTTCCCTGGGAACCAAAGGATCCGGAGGTGACCCACCTGAGGATGAATTCCATGAGAGCTGCTGGCCTCACGTCCCGACTCACTCATTCAAAACCTCTATTGTGGCTTCCTCTTGCTGTTATGATAAAGTTCCAATCTTTTTTTATTTTTATTTTTTGAGATAGGGTCTTACTCTGTTGTCTAGGCTGGAGTGCAGTGGCACGATCTCAGCTCACAGCAGCCTCTGCCTCCTGAGCTCAAGCAATCCTCCTGCCTCCGCCTACTGAGTAGCTGGGACCACAGGCAAAACCACCATGCCCAGCTAATATTTTAAAAATTATTTTTGTAGAGATGGGGTCTTGCTATGTTGCCAAGGCTGGTCTCAAACTTCTGGGCTCGAGTGATCTTCCTGCCCTGGACTCCCAAAGTGCTGGGATTACAGGCATGACCACCATGCCAAGCCACGATCAACCTTTTTTTTTTTTTTTTTCTTGAGACAGAGTCTTGCTCTTTTGCCCAGGCTGGAGTGCAGTGGCACCATCTCGGCTCACTGCAGCCTCGGCCTCCTGGGTTCAAGTGATTCTCCTGCCTCAGCCTCCTGAGTAGCTGGGATTACAGGCGCCCACCACCACGCCTGGCTAATTTTTGTATTTTTTGTAGAGACGGGGTTTCCCCATGTTGGCCAGGCTGGTCTCGAACTCTCAACCTCAGATTATCCACCCGCCTCGGCCTCCCAAAGTGCTGGGATTTACAGGTGTGAGCCACCATGCCTGGCCCATGTTCAACATCTTGATCTTGATCTTGAGGCCCTGCGACGTTTGCCTTCTGCCAGCCCCACAATCTCATCACAACTGCATCCCGGGCCCGCCAGCCTTTTCTCTGATTGTCTTCCAAGCTCCAGCTAGTGTCAGAGCCTGATCCCTGCCCCTCCCTCCCTTCACTACCCGAGCCCCTCCGCCAAGTCTCAGGTTACCCTCACTTGCCTTTTTTCCAATATAAAGGAACGGCCAGGCACAGTATCTCCTGCCTGTAATCTCAGTGCTTTGGGAGGCAGAGGCAGGGGGATCGCTTGAGGCCAGGAGTTTGAGACCAGTCTGGGCAACATAGCAAGGCCCTGTCTCTACAACAAATTTAAGAATTCACCACATTTGGTTGTGTGTGCCTGTGGTCCCAGCTACTTGGGAGGCTAAAATGGGAGGATCACTTGAGCCAAGGAGGTGGAGGGCTGCACAGTGTTATGATCACATCACTACACTCCAGCCCCGGTGACAGAACAAGACCCTGTCTCTCCATGATGTAGAAAGGTATAGAGGGGATAATAGAGGTATAGAGAGGTATAGAGGGGATAACAGAGGTATAGAGAGGTATAGAGGGGATAACAGAGGTATAGAGGGGATAACAGAGGTATAGAGGGGATATGCTGAGTACCTGGCATGGAGGGGTGCTCACACACAGGGGCTGCTATCCCGTCATTGGGGTGTGACTTTCACACTTTCCGGCCGGATCTTGTCTTCCCTCGAGCCAGGCTCCCGTTGCCTCTGGACTTGCAGTGCTCGGGATCTGAAAAGAAAGAGATAATCAGCCTTGGAGCGGGAGGCAGAGGATGGAGGGAAAGGGAACCGTTCTGGGATCAAAGCGATGCTCTGCTTTGGAAGAAAAGGCCAGGAAGTCCTGAGGGGCGTGTCACCCTCGATGACATTGGCAGAGTGGACCCCACACCAGGGGCTACAGGGGGAGGAAGGCTTCTGTCCCACCCCGTGGAGTGGATAGCCTGGGAGGCCACTGAGACAGGCCCCAAGAGCCGTGGGGATGGGGAGGAGGGAAGATGGCAGCCTTGGGCATGCTCGTGACCAGTGTGGAAGATCTTTGATGAAAAGGCTTTGATGGAAACCTCTGCAGACTGGAGCCGCTCTAATCAGTGCTAATTCATTAGGTCAAAAGCAGCAAACCCCATTCCCAGACCCCGAAGAGTTCCCGTCACTGTGAATTATGTCTTTAGCCTCCAGCCTGCCATGGATTTGGGCAGGAACACGTGGGGGCTCACACACGCTGTCATTTCCCAAGGGCAGTGTTCCTTACGGTGACTGACGAGGCCACCGCTAATGTCCCACTCAGCCATCTAGGAGCCCAGCTGGGGGTTTGGGTTTTTTGGGGAAGGGTCAGTTCTCCTTCTAGAGAAAGGAGGGCAGGATCTCACTCTGTTGCCCAGGCTGGAGTGCTGTGGCACAATCATGGTAAGAGGGAAAGGTGGGATTTCAAACCCTGGTATGGTGGAAAGAGCCTTACGCCAGTCCCCAAAGCTGCTTGGAACCTGGTGGGCGGCGGGCCTCAGGCTGCTGCTCTAGGACGGCTGCATTCAGGAGTGACAGGGACCCTGAGCCGCTGATGTTTAATCAGGGACTTGCTTGGTTTTGGCTTTGAAGACTAATCGGAGGTGACATGAGATCTCCCAGGGCTGATGGAAGCTGTTCCTGTCGGGCATCGGCTGGGGTTGGAGTGAACTGTCAGAAGCCCTCAGCCCCGGGGAGATGGTGGTGACAGGCATCTCTAGAGGACACCATCTCCCTGGTCTCCTCACGGCCTCCCTGCCCTGTGGCTGGGACAGGGCTGGGGGCTGGGGCTGGGTGGGGAAGGGAATCACAGAACCAAGGGCTTCTGCAAAGGCAGCAGAGCAGTCCACAGGCCAGTGAGCAAACACAGAGGGAAATTATACCGTCTGCATTTTTTAAAAAAGAGAATGTGTTTATTATCAGAAAAAAAAAGGCTTTAAAAAAAATTATAAGGAAGGCTTCAGTTGTGGCCAGGCATGGTGGCTCATGCCTGTAATCCCAGCATTTTGAAAAGTTGAAGTGGGAGGATTGCTTGAGGTCAGGAGTTCAAGACCAGCTTGGGGCAACATAGCGAGACCCCATCTCTTAAAAAAAAAAAATTATCTGGCCTGATGGCGTACACCTGTAGTCTCAGCTACTCAAGAGGCTGAGGTGGGAGGATCGCTTGAGCCCAGGAGGTTGAGGCTACAGTGAGCCATGATTGTGCCGCTGGCCACTGTACTCCAGCCTGGGTGACAGAGCAAGATCCTGTCTCAAAGAGAAAAAGAAGGAAGGTTTTAATTACAAGAAAGGAGAAACAGGGCTGGGCGCAGTGGCTCACACCTGTAATCCCAGCACTTTGGGAGGCCGAGGTGGGCAGATCAGCTGAGGTTGGGAGATCGAGACCAGCCTGATCAACATGGAGAAACCCCATCTCTACTAAAAATACAAAAATTAGCTGGGCGTGATGGCACATGCCTGTAGTCCCAACTACTTGGGAGGTTAAGGCAGGAGAAGCGCTTGAAACCGGGCGGCAGAGGTTGCAGTGAGCCGAGATCGCGCCATTGCACTCCAGCCTGGGCTGCAAGAGCGAAACTCTGTCTCAAAAAAAAAAAAAAATGGAGAAACAGGCTTGAACAACTCCCCTTGCTATTCTACCCCTACCCCCTACCCACTATGTCAATGTAGGTTGGGGAAACTGAGGCACAAGAAAACCAATACTGAGGCTGGGCTGTTTCTGCCCTTAGAATTTTGATGACAGCATTTGGGAACTTGGTCCTCAGGTCAGGGAAGATTTCTAGGATGAAAAGTCAATCTCTTGACCACTTGCAAGACTGGCTCAGAGGTATAACATGCAACTGACCAAACATCATCCCTCGTGCTTACAGACTATCCGGGGTGTGCCAGACACTTTGTTAGACGTCACTGACGAACCTCCAGAACTCTTTGAGGTAGGCGGTATTATCATCACCACCACCACTTTACAACCAAGAAAACAAAAGCTTAGAGAGGGCTGGGCATGGTGGGTCACGCCTGTAATGCCAGCACTTTGGGAGGCTGAGGTGGGCGGATCACTTGAGCTCAGGAGTTCAAGACCAGCCTGGGTAACATGGCAAAATCCCGTCTTTACAAAAAATTAGCTGGGCATGGTGGCACGCGCCTGTGGTCCCAGCTATTTGGGAGGCTGAGGCAGGAGGATCACTTAAGCCTGGGAGGTCAAGGCTACAGTGAGCCAAGATGGTACCACTGCACTCTAACCTGGGTGACAGAGGGAGATCTCTGTCTGAAAACAAAACAAAACAAAACAAATGCTTAGAGAGGTTCAAGTTCATATGCTTAGCATAAAGTTAGGATTTGGACCCAAGGTTTTCTGACTTCCCCTTGATTGCTACTATATAGCATCTAGAATTGCTTTTTATTTTTTTAAGTTTACCTTTTTAAAGGGTTGTAACCAGAAAATATATGTGCAAAAGCTCCCTGAAACGTCACTTTTACATATAAGCTTAAGACAGAGTGAAAACCGTGCTCTGAGATGGCAGATACTGGCTCAAGGTTAAAAAGAACAACTATTGCTTCTCAAAAGAGGAATCAATTGCTTAGTGCACTGTAGATTCCTCATGGTGGTGTTTTCCAAGTACAATCAATGCCCATTCACCGCACAATGAAGGCTGCTAGTTGACAAACAAAATGTTAGTTTTTCTTCTTTTCCTTTTTTTCTTTTTGAGATGGACTCTTGCTCTCGTTGCCCAGGCTGGAGTGCAGTGACACGATCTCCACTCACTGCAACCTCTGCCTCCTCGGTTCAAGTGATTCTCCTGCCTCAGCCTCCCAAGTAGCTGGGATTACAGGCATGCACCACCATGCCCGGCTAATCTTTGTATTTTTAGTAGAGATGGGGTTTCATCATGTTGGCCAGGCTGGTCTTGAACTCCTGACCTCAGGTGATCCAATAGCCTTGGCCTCCCAAAATGCTGGGATTGCAAGCGTGAGCCACCGTGTCTGGCTAAAAATGCTGGTTTTTGTTGGCTCTCACTTAAGAATAAATAGACAAGGATCACTTGATGGTTGAGGAAAGTCTCCACATGAAAGGCAGAGATCAAAAGGGTCACAGGGACACAAGGAACCTGCTAGAAGCAGACAATGCACAGAATAAGAGAAAATTTAAAAAAACATAACCTGGCTAGCGCAGTGGCTCACACCTGTAATCCCAGTACTTTGGGAGGCTGAGGTGGGAGGATTGCTTGAGCCTGGGGATTCGAGGCCAGTGTAGACAGTATAACGAGACACTGTCTCTACAAAAAATCAAAAAATTATCTGGGCATGGTGATATGTACCTGTAGTCCTGGCTACACAGGAGGCTGAGGCAGGAGGATTGCTCGACCCCAGGAGATTGAGGCTGCAGTGAGCCATGTTTGCACCACTGCACTCCAGCCTGAGCAACATAGTGAGACCCTGTCTCAAAAGAAACCCCCAAAACATAACCTGATAATTAAGAATCATTTAGAGATGAGATGAAGCATTGTATCCATAAAGCAATGGTAGGGTGCTAAGAAGAGGAACGATCAAAGAACAAGTTATTAGCAATTAAAAATAAGGCAGCAGAAATTTAAAATCAGTGGAAGGCTTGGAAGATAAAGTTGGGGAAATTTCCTGAAAAGTTAAATAAAAAGTTAAAGAGAAGGAAGATAAGAGGGGAGGGAATGAGATCAATTTAGAAGGTCTAACATCCAATAAATAGAAATCCTTAAAAGAGATGACAATGACTGTGTCTTCTTGTTATGTATCTTCTGGGGATAGAATATAAATCAAGGGATGAAATTATCAGAGAAATGGTATTAGAGAATTCTCTGAATTTAAGAGCATGAGACTTCAGACTTAATAGGCCCTTTGAATATTAGTACAATCAGTGGAAAAGAACCTTCTCAGTGCACATTGTTCCAAAAATTCTGGCCACCAGGGAATAAGACCCTAGAAGCTTCCAGAGAGAAAACCTCAGGTCACATGAAGAAGAATGGAAGCAAATATACCATCAAACTCCTCAATACAAATACTGGAAGCTGGGAGAAAATGAAGCAATGCCTTCACGTTTTTGATGGAAAATACTTTCTTACCTAGGATCCTATATCCACCCAAACTATTATGTGTGAAAATACAATAAAATTATTTTCAGAAAAGCAGGAACTCCAAATATTTGTCTCCTATGCACCTTTTCATTGGAAGCTACTAGAGGATATGATGCAGCAAAAAGAGGAAGTAAGCAATAAAGAGGAAGGTATGGAGCTCACAAAGCAAGGAATCTACTTGGGGAAGCAGCAGGGAAAGTCCCAGGATGAAAGCAAAGCGGCCAGGAGTGATCAGCCAAGATTGCAACAGGATCATGGAGGGTCCACAAGGGAGAGGTTGCCAGGGGAAAAACAGAATGATTTTCAGATATATTTGATAACTCAGGAAATCATATTGTTAGGCAAATGACAGATCTGAGAGTCAGATGGGAAAAAATTAAGAATAAGTACATTTAAAAGAAACCCTGAGCAAATGCAAAGGGGGGAAAAAAAAGAGGAAATATTAACTCCAGGAAAAACCAAAAGTGCAGACAAGAAAGAAAATCATAGCATACAACTTGCCTTAACATGAACAATATTTACCTAGTTATAATCACAGATGAATCAACGCAACAGATTGTGACCTAATGTAATGAGAGAATGGAGGAAGGGGAAGTGCTTTGAATGGGTTATTAGTAAAAGAGAGCTA